TGTTTTAATTGAAGTTTAATTAAACTCAATTACAATGCAATACAACGTAAAATTGCGTTTTAATTAAGTTTAATTAAATAAAAGTTGAATATCTCGTGACTGAACATAGAAATGTTTGCGAAGGTATGGTACAATTATATTAATATTAAATTCGACTCCACTTTGTTGGTGTGTATCCGGACCACTGGCTCCACTTCTACTCCTATACAAACACACACACACATACACACCAATTCTAGTTACAATTTTTCAATGCATGTGTTCACAGTTGTATTTTCTATATAAACTACTTAATGGAGAAGTGTGACAGTCATATAGCACTAGAGAATCACACGCTGAGGCCGGGTACGTTTCAGTTGTAAAACATCACTACCAGTCATTTCTGACTTGTACCATAACACCATGTAACAATCTAGATGTTACTGAATGATACTGAATCTTGTAAAATGATCGAACTGTATTATTTTACACTCAAATGATATCGCCGCAAATTGCGAGGAACAACCCGAACAAAGGACAGAAAATACGTCAACTCATTGATGCTAGTCACACAATTAACTCGTTTGTTTGTTCAAATAACTAAGCAATCAAGCAAGTCGGTAATGACCTAAACAAACAGCTAGCTTATCCTTGACTCTTTGATAGAAATAACTGACCTTAAAATCCCATGAGATTCACAGAATTTTGTTCATAGCTTTATGAACATGGATGTTAGGAGTGTTGATGTAGCAGACTTGCATGAATACACACGCACACGCGGAAGCCATTAGCTCAAGCACTTGGGACAATAAATTGCGATTTTCATTAATAAAAATTGTACTTTTTAATTAAGCTTTCTTCGTAGGTAATCATTGTTAGAGTAATACTAGGTTAAAGTTGTTTGGGTCATGCACGATAAACTGTGAATATGTTTTACAGGACTTCGTAATTGTATTTGGTGTCAATTATACTGTTGCTATATATCGTGGTGTGTACTGTCAATCAAATAATACCTGTAATACTAACATTATACTTAGTTGTGATCAACGCGTTCTTATTCATACAACGTACACAATATTTGTAGAAGAAATTGTTTATTTATTATGTGTTCCTAAATCAATGGAGACTCTGTGTCTACAGTTACGTTGTTTTTTTATCATGTTGATTATTCTTATTGTCAAAGTCGCCTTTTTATCATTTGCGTCATGAATAGGGTTGTTAATTACCACAACGAACTGATTTTGACAACGATTTGATACCTTGTCAGAATCAACATATGACTCTTCATTTAGAGTTTCTGGTGCACTCAATTGCTTGCCCGATATCTATGGCAGATATGTTGTTTTCTATGAAAACAACGCTTCAAAAATATAGTGTTTGTTTGTGAGTTATATTGTTATAAGTGCATTATTAAAGAACTTGGGTTTACTGTAATATAATAGTTTTACTCGCCGTGAAATTCACATTCCTATCAAGTATAGGTGACTTGCGTCGCTTGTATTGGATATCCAGACCCCATAAAACACCATATAAAGCTGATTAATTACTGGATGTTGAAATATAAATGTAAACATTTAGAAATGGAATTTCCCTGCGGTTGGTGAGGCAATATCTTGTTCAAGGACGCGCAGATCGACTTGATGTTTCATAAAAATACTATGTTATTTTTTAAAGAAATGGTATGTTATTTTCACTTTTCATCAAGTCAAACATTGTCCGATTCGCGCGGTTTCAGAGCCGACCAGCATGGCCGTCCCTATGAACCCGGCGTAATCGTGATATCGCATATATTTGTAATCATGGAAAAGGCTTTGTCATCTTTGGTAACAATTGTGTCATCATTCTTGTGTTTCAGCAACTAACAAATGCACGTATCAGCGTATCTATCTTGCATTTTCAGGAAGTCAATCAAAAGGTTTGTGCCCAGAGGCGGTGGCAGCTTTTTTGACTGTGGGGTCGATGATTTTATGTGAATGTCAACAAATCTTGAAAATTTTTAAAACTAGACCCTCTGAAACGCTGTATCCTGCATTTTGGGGTGTACATTTCTACCGACATTTGCGGTGGATTTTAGTGACAAATATAGATGAATGTTTCACCTTATTTCATCGTGGGGGCGTCGCCCCAACGACCTATTTTCGTGGGGGCGACCGCCCCACTGCCCCCCACGGTGCCGCCGCCACTGTTTGTACCACAAATGTCCTTGGCGACTTTACGATATGGCTGGAGTGTTGTTTGTGGAAAAAATACACACTAAAACAATATTTTAGAGGTTTTTATTATTACTCATTATGTTCTCTATAATTGCTTTGCGTTTCTCCCGATCTATCGGGCGCCCTCTCTAGCAGTATAATATTTCGAATCGCCGTAAGATTGCTTGAACGCTCTGTTACAGTCGAGCGCCATCTTGTGTTGAAATCTTGAAATATATGAAATGATTAGTTGTTAACAAGAAGTTCATTGAACTATTTACAATATATTACACAATATTGATTGAGTATTGATTAAGTAATAGGATAATCGATCACAGATCAGAGTGTCAATGTCTTAACCGTCATTATTTGTTTTAAAAAAAAAACAGAAATCACACAAAAAGCCATGTCATGTAGCCACAAATATCATCACCGCTGTAATACTGAATGTACAATTTCTTAAGTGTTATAAACATCACTCGGCTCACAGTGACTCCAAAATGTACACTTACTTATAGTGAATCTGAACAATGGCCATTTTCAATAGCAATGTGTAGTGGTTCGTAACAACAAAAATAGATTTCACCAGTTGCATGCGTTGGCAGCCCCACACCTCAAAGAACTGTTGTTATGTCGCTAAATTGAGGGAATCTGATTACTATAATATTTATTAAAAAATAACATTTGACATACTGGAACATGTAAAGGACAACAAGTCTGTATTTTGACAATGACATTGTAGTTAGAATGATACAAACACACACACACAGTGAAGACGACCAATTGACGCTGTGATTGCGTGGTTGTATCAATCGTACTGCGCAATAATAGTTATGCTTCTAATAGAGGGTTTATTTCTAAAGCGAGAAGGTCGTCACCTGCGCACGCGCGGCAATTGAGTCCCAAGCGACGATAACAACACACGCTAAGAACGCAAACGCTCATGGATAGACGCTTGTTTGTAAACAATGACACGCTATGACCATCTGACGCATGCGCAGGTGACGACTCTCCCGCTTTAACTTACGAAACAAGTATTTCCCAAGTCACACACGTTAATATGTGAATATATCATAGGGTACAGTGTTCTTGTGCGTGTTTTGTTCATTTAAAATTATTCATGTAAGACTTAAGATTATTGATGTTTCCATAGCAACCTACATTGCTGATTATTAAGGTATAGATGCAAGATCAAAATTATGTTTTTGTTTGTTTTTTGAAATTTAGACAGTGTAGGCTACACATTGTTAACATTCAAGCAGAACATAATAAAAAGATATTTTTTGAAAATATAAAATATACATAGTTGTTTATATTTGGTTCTCAGCTTTTTTTGAAATAGTATAGCCAGCACCATTCATAACCGAATAATACTTTTCAAGATGCAAATTATCCAGACAGTTCGAAAAAAATGAATGTTGCACATTGCGACGTAATTTGAGTTTTTTGTGTATTTCCCGCTTGTTACAAAGCTTCAAAATCTCAACAATGTAATGTCAAAATATACAAACCACAGTTATTAGACTGCTAGAACCCAACGAAACTACATCAATACATTAAGCTAGAAAAGGTACAGGTTGTGAAACAGCAAAATCTGATACTAGAGATTAGTATAAGGTAAAGTCTAGTATAGTTATAGACATTTATACGCTATACACATGTTTTGGATAAATATACGAGTGATAGTTTTTAAACTAATTATTGTCAAGGCAGAGGGCGTAACCATATAAGAATTTGATTTGATAGGATACAGACCCGGATTACGAAACTGAGAAGACTACGCTGGAGTAATAAAACATGTAAATATTCATGCTATAATTCGTGGTGTACTATAAAGATACTAAAGTGTGATTGTCGACAAAATCGTGTTTGACACATCAAGTAATAAGTGTATTTTACATGTAATATAAGCCGCCGATGTGGATCACACCTGTCCACTGTTGAGTTGTTCTTGTCTAGTCATTATGTCTCTATTCATTTTATAGGACAAATTTATTGAATTCATTCTTGTTACCACCGAGTCCGGCGAGTCGTGTTCAACTTGCACCTAAATCAGACAGTTGCAGTCAAGATAAATACTAACATAGTCGTGTTTCGATCAGTAGAACTCGCGAACTGAAAGACCTTTCAAGTTTTGCCGACAATACAACTTCATTTTTATTGTTATTAATTCTTCAACTGCGCATGCGGATACTCATATTTTATGATGAGCACTCAGGTCTCTTCTATCGAGAATACGAATGATAAAGTACAGTGCCATACCGACACACACGAAACTGAAGACGTACATAAAAAAACGATTCATGACAATAGCAACTTGTTTCCACTCTCTGTTCACGTTCTCCTCGTGTTCTTCGTTTATTTTCCGTGTAACTAGGAACTTGAGGCTAGACGAAACACTTTTGAGCTCGTTGATCATAGCCTGTGTACCAGGGTCCAGTTTACTTTGCCTGAGCCAAATACCATCATCTTCGCTGATGCTTGCCGATACGTCCTTCGTTTTCATTTCCAAATTATTAGAATATACGCTTCCGTTCTTTGTCAACGGCCAGTAAGTTTTATTCTCATTGTCACGGCACTCCGCTATGGGAAACAAAAACATGGGCACTGAGTCAAATTTTGTTTTTGACCATAAAGTTTTATCCGCGAGGTATTGGAACGTCGGTAATGTGCATAAATAACTACATTAGTTTGCAAAATGACGTTGTGTGTGTATGTGTGTGAACTGCCGATATCTCGTTTAATATTTACGTTTCATTTTGAAATTTTGACCAGTGTTGGTTTTTATTATGAATGAGATTATTTTTGGAGTTCACACCGTAATTGGACAAAACAAATTGGATCTGGTCGGTTCGAATTTTTTTTATTCATTGAATATAAGGTTGAAAATAATACATCGATAACGTTCAACTGAATCAAAAAAACAACGACCGCCATTTTGTAATTTTACGTGAAACTGTAGATAGAACGAAAACAAGCTACACCGTAATTACGTCAGCCTACATTAGCCGAACGAATTATATGCATTAAGTCAGTATATTGAGTAACA